TTCTTGGGCAGCACTGCACCACGTATAAAGTTGATGCTATTTTCAGATCTCCCTGTGAAAGTCCCCTATTAAACACTTTTCACTTCTCTGTCAGGGATTTCATCATGGATCTACAACTTGCGCACAACACAACACAACAGACATCAACGTCTGAGTAAAACTAACCCACCTGTCACGTCAGGGATCATCACTGGTGATCAGCGCTGGTTCTCCTGCTACAACCATGAGACCAAACAGCAGACTTCTTTACTAGAAAAGCCGGATATCTGGTGCATAAGATTAAAAGCACAGCCAGGAGCGTGCTTATTAAGATATGCACTGTTATTTCATCCCCCAGGGTCAGACTGTCAATATGGAGTTCTACCCAAAGGACTGAGTTATTTTCTATCGGGTGCTTTGAAAAACACAGTATTGTAGCCAAAAAATGTCTTTGGTCATCAGCTGCCCTATATATCAGATGTGCCTCCCTGTGACTGTCTTTTCCCAAAAATAAAAATTCAAGTTTGACGCCCCAGGTTTTGACACGCTAAAGGAGGTCCAGAGTGCGAGTGGTCAGCAGCTGTAGTGGAAGTGGGCAAGCACTGCCCTAAGAGAAATTAGCCAAATTTAAGTCAGGTGTTGTGTAGTCAAAAAACGTTATGATTGCACCTCATGGCATTTAAAATGTTGTTTTAAAACTCAGGTTCTCCCTATTTCTTTCTCTCTCATTACATTTTAGCTGTCAAGGTAATACAGAACTGCATACCTGTTAGTGTAGTCATATAAAAACAATACTATTATTATTAAACTTGTAAAACTGACTAAATAAATACTGAAGGGGTTGATTTCGTGATGACTAGTTATTCAGACAACTTTTTTTTTCCAAAAAAAGGCTTGATTACACTCGAGAAATGCTGAACTTAAAGATTTGCTTTTATTGGTTCAGGGTTGTAAGGTAATTTCCTAATACCAGTATATATTTCCAAATGCTACATCACAGACAAGGTTTCTTGGTCCTGACTATATGCTGGAAGTGTGGCATATGTCCTTCATTTCATGTGCATAAAGCTGAGGTGGTTACATCATGCTGCAAAACAAATATACTGGCGCTGGGGGTAATGGTGCGTCTAGCTTCATTTTCCAGCACTGCAGTCATGTCTGCCTCTCTCTGCGCTGGCTCCAGGAGGGCCTAGCAGCTTAACAAGCCTCTTGGGGACCCAGACAGCAGAGAGGAGATGATTTTACCTCAGGACACAGTCTGACAGACCCATACGCACAAACACGCATGCACACATACATACACACAACACAAAACACACGCTGGGCAGTCAAACAAGTGGATTTAAAAATGCACATTCACAAGGCTTCAGATACAGTTTATACACCCACACAAAAACTCATATTCCTTGTTGCCTAGGCTTACTTTGTAGCTATGCGTGCAGCAGGGGGTTCCTCTTGTATGTTCAGGCCTTTCAATACAACACCACAGCTCTATAATCCACCACCTAAAGCTTAATAATCACTGCAGTTCATGCTGTAAAATTGGCTGCTTTTTAACAGGCGTGACAGGATGGAAACCATTCAATCCCCTGCGGTAATCTAACTTGAGTTCAGATGTTTAGAGATTCTCCTTAACCATAAGTCACATAACAGACACTCCTACACAAACCAACCACAGCTCGCAGAGAGGCCAGAGTAAAGCAGTAATTTCATTTACATCCACTGGATGAATGTTTGCTGCTGAGGTCAACATTCATAGACTGGTTACTGTAGTATCTGACATGTGCGGCGCGCCAGCAGAAAATTATAGCAATCAATAGGCACTGATCGCCGATAGGTGCTAGGGTTTTGCTAAGAACAGCAAGATTAGGCGGTCAATGAAGACAGAAGGAAAAACACAAAAGTGAGGATTTATTTTCCAAAGGAAAGCAACAAGGAGATGCACTTAGCAAGAATTTCATTCTCTGCAGGTCAAAAGAAATGCAGATTTTGAGGTTAAACCCAGGCTAAACCTGTATTCTAAAAATGCTCACTTTTGACCAAATTGAGGTCACTTTAAACCTCAATATGTAGACCATCAAACCAGGATTTTGGTTCAGCGCAGCTCCAAATATAAAGAATCATCATCACACCCAGTTGACACCCAGTCAAAGTTAATTTACAGCAAAATCTGGAGGCTTGCTTGTACGTACTGAAAGTAGCTCTTGAAACAACAAAAACTGGCGCGAAGATAGAGAGAAGAGCAGTGCAGGAAAATGTGAGTCGGGAGTGCAAAAAAAGTTTAAGACTGGTACATACACAAAACTTTACCTTCACAGATTCGGTCCAGTCGCTGTCTCTTCACTTTGTGTTTGTCAGTCAGGGACATGGCGTCAAACGCGGCACAGCACAGGACGGCAGGGCTCGGCTCCGCACAGCAGGGTATCTCTCCTCCTGAGCCACCAATACTGACAAGGTTCAGACTCCTAGTGCACTGTCAGCACTACTCCCCGGGGCATACCGCCTCGGCACATACACCTACACGAAAGGCACAAACACAAAGAAACTTGGCTTAAAGCAACGCGGGCGCACACAGACACACACGCACGTAGTTACTGTATATACACACATCATTGATGTAAAAGCACCAAAAAAAATCTCTGACACAGGAATGCATTAAAGAGTCCTTGACTACAAAGTCCCACAGCATCTTCTTCACAAAGAGTCTGGGAAGCTGCAGGCAATAGATATACAGGAAATCAGTGAATCACACAGCTTCACACACATGCACTCAGACACTGCTGGTGACAAAGTGCTCCATTTGCTCTAAAAAGTGACAAAACTTCAGTGCTCTAAAAGCTCCACTTTTCCCCTGTTTGAAGTGTGTTTTCTTTCCTTGACAAATACTCATGTGAAGCTCCATCTAACTTGTCACTCATCGCATTTCTTATTGATCACTGTGACATTTGAGGTATCTCAACTCAGTCTACTTCTTCCCTTTTTTTGCCGTGAAAGTTTTTCAAAACAAAGCAAGCGCAGAAATGCTCAGTCTGACGACAGGAAGCTGATAAGACTGGAGAGGGGAAATTTATCATCTGATAAAGTGATGTGTCGAACCTGAAGATGGACTGTCATGTAATGACACGTTCAGACCAATAGAGGGTAGTTAGAATCTACCCAGAGAGAAACACATGTTCCCATCCACACAATATAAAGCCAGATGATTACTGAACTTCAAATAACTTTAGCTTGGCCACGATTTGGCCTTGCACACATAATCACAGTTACCATTTCAGATAAAGAGAAGTTTGTAACTCTGAGCTGTCTGAAAATGTAACCCGACAAAGCCTTTTTAATTCACTATCACTCACAGACATGCAGGCAATTATTTGTACAATTGCATCTTTGTTACAAAGGAAAACAGAAGAGTATGCTTTCGCATGCAGCACATAAAGACTGGGGAAAAGCATCTGAGTCAAATGGAACTAAATTATTGCAGCACAACAGGGATTAAACATTCTCTCTCTCAAAACACTCATATCCCACATTGTGCTCATCCAGGACCAGAGCCTGAGGCGTCTTTGCTCTCACAAAGTGCTGAGATCACTGAAATATCTCTTTGTGTCAGAAAGCATCACAGCAAAGTCATTACACAAAGTCTTCTTCGCTCCTGTGTGGTCAAATATCGAGGGTAAAAAACACGAGAAGGGTGAGAAGGTAAAGATTTCATATGTTGTGGATCTGAGCCGACCTGTGCTATTCATCAGAACTGGCTATTCAAATGTGAAACTACATACTACTGTGGGCGGTGCTGAAATGTGACATTATCAGGACACCTCTGCACATATGGGACCATGCAGAGCTATCACACCAGGAGGTATACAGACTTGTATGCAGCCTTTCCTTGAGGAAAAAATCCTCCACATGTTCCTATTTAAGTGTATATTGCCACACCATTTTGTCCCCTCTAAAACTGCCGTTTTCTGTTTATCAGCCTCCTTTAATGATTTCAGTTCTTTCCCTTTATGGACTTATGGGAAACCTAAATGCTTAAAGATCTTTAGCAGGTCATAAATGCAACAACATACAACCTGAGACCGTCAACATGGATAAAGAAGGGCGCATTAAAAAGAAGAAATCCCTGCAGAGGTGGAAAAGGCTAATCATTTTCCTGTTACGCTGAGTAATCTTTAAGTTACTGTCATGGCAGAGAAAAGAATGATTTTGACGAGAGGAAGCCGCACACAAGGTTACTTCCAGGGTGCCTTTTTAACAATATGGTACTCCGGCTGGAGTATGTTAACTGCTGCTGGAAGGCCTCACCCTGTTACTTCATTTCAGTCTCCTCTCAGTCCCTCCTCCCTCTCCCCTTTCATCTGTCCATCTCTCTGTAGTGCCGCTGCCTCTGAGGTCTCTCGCACAGAGTTATCAATCACCGGCCCTTGTTCCAGGGCCATCCACTTGTGTGTGTGTGTGACATAAAGAGTGAGAGCGACAGAGAGGGTGGGAAGTTGAGAAAAGGAGGATTCACAGAAGCTACCAAGACCCGCACAGAGGCCAAACCTTCCCCATCTTTATGCCTGTTTCTTTTCTGTTAGACAGTCGACTATAAGCAGTGGTCTGAGAACTGTTTCATTTTCAAAAAAAAAAAAAAGAAAAACTCACACGAATCAAGAGTTCAATTTCTCAATACTATAAAAGAAAAAGTGAAACAAGCCTGACAGTGCAGCCAGCAGTGCATGAGAGGGTATTTAAGCAGGAATTTTGCACACTCAATTCAAACACAAAGGTCATATACATGAATCTTAATATTTAAGAGGTATTAAAAGTCAGATGATCGATAAAACTCCCCCGCTTGCGTGGCCACAGCTCACTGAAAGGGAAACATTTGCGCGCGAGACACCAAAACATTAAATGAACGAATCCATATCTGTGACAGCCGGCTCTGTCTCCCAAGGATGGCTTCACCCGTGAGCACAATCACAGTCTGCAAACTCTGCTCAATGTCAGGGGCACACAGAGATCCCTGTCAGAGTATGTATGGTACGCAGATGTGGGGGAAGGGCAGTCAGTTAGCGGAGGTTTCGAACGCAGCACAAAGACAAACAGTCTCAAATGACTGATCTCGTTGTAAAGTGATTTATGACAGAAGAAAACACCAACAAATCAATAAGAAAAGGCCATCTGAGAAAGTATTCATTTTTTCACACCTTCTAGTATTATTACAACTGAAATCGGGAGATTGTTTGCTTAGCTTAAGCATATTTTTAAAGTTTTATGCAGCTGCTGGGTGCTGAACTTTTGAAGTTTTAACCTACAATCCATTATTATTTTCTCGACTTAAATTAATTTTTTTATTCAATGTTATTCTTTTATCTGGCTCATGTTATATTAATTTATTAATGTATGGGTTTAACAAAGTTAAAGATTACGTGTTTTTATCACACATATGTGAATAAAAAAGTAACACATATGCTGCCATAAATATGTTTAGTGGTTTTAATACCATTTAACTTCCTGAGTTGGCACTGACATAGGGGGCGTGTCTAAGCTTAATCTATGTGCAGCGGTGCAGCAATCAAGCACAACGTTAAAGACACAGACATGTGGAGTCAATAACTCTGATCATCTTCCTAGAAGGACTCTTTGGTCCTCGTGTGGCTATTAACCTTCACATTTATATGGAGGCATATGTGAGGTTACAACAGAGAGCAGGTGAACAGTTTATAGACACCGCATGTTGCTGATGACAAGTCATCGAATTGAGCAATAATGCAGGTGGTATAATGGAGATTCGGATCTGTGCAATTCTGGTTTTAGTTATCAGAAAGATGTATATCACATCAGGAAGTCAATAGCCATGTGACTCTCTAAGCCAATCGTCTGCCAAACATATGACCTCTATTTCCTTTAATGCACTGAGGAAGACCACAAGGCTGAGACATAAAGTAAGTGACATCATTTGGTTTTGTGGCTTTGTTTGACCTTTTTTTAAGGCAGAAGAAACTGTTAGGTGATCTTGTGATTGGCATTTTGCGCTCTACTTTGATCTTTTATTCACCCAACAATTAATTAACACATCAGAAACCCAACATATACAGTCATCAATAATGAAAGCATGGATTCTATTCTGTCCTGGTTATTCTCCACCCAACATTGTGACTTTAACCATAGGAGGATGTGAAAAAAAAAATAATCCAAATTAAATTCATTTGTTGCAGCATCATCTTGTAATGCGATGAAATTTAATGATGATGAAATAAGAAAATAATTTTGCTTTGGTAAATAGATATGAGCAACGTCCCTGACCGACTTTCATTAGATAGCAATAATTACATGCTTTATCAGACAGGGTGGGGGTGTACAGACTGAGCAAAGGCAATCTCACACTGTCAAATGAGTCACTCGAGTTACAGCATCACTTCATGTGTTGACACAGATCAGTGTGATTAGAAAAGCTTTAAAAACAGAGCACACAGGATGTTTTATTTTAAGAAAGATAGAAATATATTTAGACAGGCGGGAGTAGTTAAAAAGCTAAACTGAAAGCTAAACTGAAGGTTGGACGCTATGAGAGTGTCTGAGGATGAATTTGGGAGATTGAATAATTAAAAAGGTCAGGCTACCTGCCTGCTGCGTGTCGCTTCACACACGCCGGCATGCACACTCGCGGTTCTAAGAGAGACGCAATGCACAGTAGGACAAAGACTGAAGAGAGACATCATTTGGGGGAATGATCATTTTCCCTAGAACACAGTGCAGTTTGTGAACTAATTGGGTGAATCCATAATTAATTTGCTGACATTAAGCCTTGGGGTCTGCTCCAGTAAGGCTTTACTTTCTAAGGATTTGAGCAAGTGCTAGTGAAGCCCTGGGCTTGCTGCTGAAGGGGGAGTCTCTTTTTTCTTCACCAGACAGGTTCTGACATTTATATATCTAACGGCGATACATTTCCACAAACGCCTGACAGCGTGGGGATTCATTTATTGGGGATTTTCTCAATGAAACATTTAAGTGATAGATAAATCCGGAAAATCCACACTCAACATGTTTCCAATCCACATCAAAAGCAAACAGGCCTAGGTTTTATTTCTCAGGGTCAAAACATGAGAGTTTTCAGCCACTGACAATTGCATACACTGACTATTAATGCTTAGACTAAAATATGATAGCTGCTGAGACTTCTGCTTAATTATTCTAAAACAACGAGTTGCACTTTTTGTCTAATTTGTCGGTCAATATAACTCACTGGATGCTTCAGATTAGGGCTGTTCTATATAACGATATATATCGGATGACGATATAAAAACGTCTATGTTTCATTTTACGCTATTGTTTGTTTCGTGGTGTCGCAAAATAAACTGTTTACGGCAATATTTTTTCTCAGTTTTGATGGTCATATATTAATTTCTTAAAGTTCTCTCTTTCTCTTATATTTAATATAACCACACTACAGACGGACAAGCGCCTGTTTTTAAGCATTGTGGTTAGCAACAACGACGGTAACACCATCGCGTGTCCGCTTGTTTATGTACCAC